AAATATCTCAAAGAGATTCTCTGTCTCTTAAGATTAGAGTTAACAGAGGGAAGACCACGGTGACAGGTCCCTCGCGGCCAGGAGTAATGAAATGATGCTTTCGGACGTCATTAAGTCAGGATGAGATTAATTCTGCTGCTGCTTTTCTTTTCTTTCCGACAATTACCATCTGTATTTATGGACTATCCCATACATAAAAGGTGAATTTTCCTTATGGATGTTTTTGTTTTGTTTTTTAATGAAAAAGAAAGATTTAACTGCCCCCTTGACAAAGAGGTGCAGCCGCTGAATGCGTGCCCACAAGAGTTACACGAAAGCCTGGATATTGCCATGAATATTTTCATGTTCTAATGAAAAGCACAAACAAGGAATAAAAAATAGGTACTCTGAGGAAAAAGGGACAGGGAGGTTTCTGAAAATATGTTTTTCACTTATTTCTGTGATAACTGAAGACACAGAATCTGCTGTTTTCTGTTGAGTGCTGTTATCAATTCTGTTTTCTAGAATGCACAGTAGTTTTTATTTTTTCTCAGAAAATAACAAACATAGATTATGATAGCACATGTATTTTGAAACATTTAGAAAAAGCCAAAGAAGTTTCCATATGAGGATCAATGAGATTTCTCTCAACATATGTTAAGAATCTTCTTTAGATTGACAATTTCTTATTCTGTGATAAAAGAGTAAGCATTTGTGAGCTTTTAATTCAGAATTTGAAGCTTATGAGCTGAATTGCCAACAATGAAGATCTTAAAGCAAAAAAAAGTAAAACACAAAAAAGCCTGTAAACAAAAAACAGCAAATGTACCGTTATCTTCAGTTTTTGGTTGCAGTGAAAACTAATGAATGCTTTTACATAGGAATGAAATCTGTGATAACCCAAAATTATAAAAATGAGACACAGACATTTAAGTCTCAATACTTTAAATCCAAAGGATTTCACATAATGTAAGCCTGCTTTATAATTTACAAAAATATGCATGAAAAACAGTCGATTTTCATACCTAGTGCAATCTAGTACACGGTTATATAGAGATATATATGTAGACACGTCAACAAAGAGCAAGAATACAGTACCTTTAACTATCTTATCCAAATAGTGAGCTTGAGAAATTAAAAAGGAAAAAAGAACAGACAGACATTTCAGAAGTGTCACATGGGACAAGGAAATTTTCAGAATTTACATGCAAATTGAGTAGCTGCAGCTGACACGAGACTCACATCACACGACAGAGATGCACTTCATATCTTCTAAAAGTGCAACACATTCACGCTTTAGCAAACACAGTCACGATTCCAGGAAATACTTAGCATTGTCAGGAAAAGTATGCAGGTAAACTAACCCTTTTTATTTTATTTTTTGCAGATTATTTAGAACGTACCCACCCTGATCCTTCTTAAGAGTATACTTTCGTAGCTAAGTAGAACAAAGGGAATCAATTCTTTATTATTAAATAATTTTGGAAATTTACGAACATGAGATCTACAGATAAACCTACTTTTTTTTCTGGGGTGGGGGTGGTGAGAAGATAATTCCATTTTTAAAGTTTGTCTTTAACAAACTAGTTTCATTAGGGTTATGTGGTGGAAGGGCATAACAGATACACAGATGCCCTGGAGGGGCCATTTATGTCTATTCTGATGCCCTCTGTCTTCAATCTAAGAGATAAACCTACCGAAATTCTACTTATTTGCCTTCTCTTGAGTTACTTGCATATTTACAAACAATTAAATGTTGATGGTTTAATAAATAAGCAAAAAAACAAAAAACCCTGAGGATCTTTGAGCACATTTAATGTAGTAGTATGAAAAAGGCTGGTGTAAGTTCTGCAGAAGACGATTACCTGGTAGTGCCTCACTACATATCAGATGGACAATGATGGATCACACATGGAGTCCATTAGGAAATACGGAACGTCCTAAGATCCTGTTTCTTTTCAGGAGTCATACAGGAACAGGCTCCGGTTCTCACAAGAGCTTTGCAGGAACAGTCAGGATTGAGACGGAAGTCTCTCACTGTCCCTGTCTGTTCACTCTTTCGGGAGGTTACAGTTAGCCTACACCTTCCCTCTTGAGCAGAAACATAAATACACACTCCCTTCGCTCAATGGAGAGACCTAATATATTCTTAATAAGCCTCAAATCTTCTTGCTTTGTCAAAATTCATACATCTTTAATGACCTAAAATTGCTTTTCAAAGATGCTCCTGTTGATTATTTCTCATTACTGACATATGCAAGTAGCGGCAGAACTCTGAGCAGAATGATTTAAACCATGACTTTCAGTTGAGCTCGTCAAGTCTGAGAGTTAAGTCACGTGCGTAAACAAAACCATAAATGGTTCTGACACATCTGTACCGTGAACATAAAAGGATTCTTCACTTTGCCGCAAGATTCCATTAGAGGCTCCTGAATTGCGTTTAACAAGAAGCATGGTGATAGCTAATTGACAATATATTGCAGAGGAAATTAAGGCGAAGAAGAAACAGTGTCAGACACTACTCTGAAATTATGATTGCATAAAAAATAATCCTGTTTTCAAATGTTAAAATGAAAATGTATTATTGTATAACCTCATTCATATAATTTAATAATTCCTTCCAAACATTATATAGTCCAGCAGAGTCTCATAATAGCTCAAATGATACTGATGATAAACAAAGGGCCATTAAACATTCTGGAGTTTCTGGGTCAGACAGGGCAGTATTTCTTAGGGACTTCATAGTTTATAAAAATTAATTACAGTGATCAGAGCTGAAGAATCATATTTTGGCTTCTACACCCGGTCCACTTCAGTTAACACAAGCAAAATGAAGAATGTAATCAGTGCTGATTTAGATCAGTAGTTTTAAAGAAGGAATAAGTTAGAATCCAGCCAATTCCATTATTTTAGCAAACAGAATCCGTTATGCAAAACAGTGGACTGGTTATAAGGTAAAGGCTGGTTTGTCATGGGGTCAAGAGAGCATCCAAAGTGGAGCTGAAATTAGAAAACACATTAAAGTATATAGCAGGTCAAATTTTATAGAACATTTTATTTAAATATTTAAATAAAAATATTTAAAACCAACTGTAAGAAAAAGATCTGTGCTGAGAAAGATACCAAGATTTGTCATTTGCATTTTATACCACAGGGAATAATTGTGAGGCTGACAGCTTGAAGAGGGAAGGCGGAAAAACACCACACCTACTTTTTGGCCTCGAACAGTAAAATTTCCAACTATACCACAAAATCCTGTTTCTAAATGATGAAGTTAAAAGATGCCAATATATGAGGTTCAAATAATTATTAAAAAATAATAATTGCAACAATGGAAACATCATTATGTAAACCACTACAGGAATTAATCAGACAAATGCTGGCATGTTTGTAAGAAGCCATTAGGAACAATAATCGTAAAAAATAATAGAGTATATTTAAAAATTAATACACCTACAATTGCTGAAATGCACATTAAGTTGCAAAAAAATTACTTTGGAAACGAACAAGAAGGTTCTGACACTAAAGGAAAGTCATTCCTCCTAGATATACTAAGTTTTAAGTTTGTTTTATAGAAGAAAATTCTTATAAATATGAGTGCTGGACATGTAAAATGGAGCCCTTTAAAAAGCTATAGCCCAGTAAAATGTGTTCATAAAACAGTTTCCATGGAGGTTCAATTATTTATCTTTTAAGGAGACCCACGCGGGACCAAGGGGTGGGTATTACTGTATATCCTGTAAGACAGTGGTGCTTAAATCTTTTCAGGATCTCAGATCCTGAGAAAAGTGGTGAGACTTACGGAATCTATCCCCCTCAACCTCGGAAAAAATGCACACATGCCCACAAACACAAAATGCTGCTTATGATTCCAGCTTTCCATTCTGGTTCCATAATTTGCAGATTATGAACACCTGGCGGATGTATTAACGATTCCCAAATTTCTAGCTCTAAGTGCTGTATATGGTTCTCTCATTTAATCTTCACCACAACACTATGATGTAAATACAGTTGATACAGTACGGATGAAGAAAGGAGGAGAGAGGCAATTTGTGCAAGGGCATTGGTTACCAGTCTAGGCTGTCTGGCTCTAAAGCTTGCTCTTACCCACTAGGTCATAATGCCTCTTCTCGGACATTAAGAAACAAATTTTTTTTTTCAGTAGAAGAAATGGATGAAAGAAGCTCATTAGTACTGTGCAATCATTCCTGACCTAACAGGAATTTAAGCTGGTACTTGTTTCCAAAAAGCCATAGAGTAGTGCGACCATCTTTTCAGTACCTTCTACAAGGCATCCCGGCAGAAGTGCCAGGTGGATCTGCCTTAAATGGCAGAATGCAGGTGAATGTCTTTAAATGCCAGGGCTCGTCTTGGCCTTAAATGTCTCTCTTTCAAAATACAATCAGATATACAGTCACTTCTGGAACATAACCAATGGAACAACTGCTCGGGTTTCAACGCATGTGTTGGAATTCCTTGGTCTACGTGCTGGTTCAGGCAGGCAGAGGCTCAGTGAAATCTGAGATGTGGAAAAAAGGTCTGGATCATCAAAAGCATTTTTATTATACGATTTAGCTCCTAAACGTCCAGGCTCACCAAAGCAAACGACTAGGACTGTATCCCTCTCACACACTCCCCTCTGGGTGCTTCTTTTTAAAAAGAATTCTTTCTCTTTTCAAGGCACCCCTGACATTTGGGGAAGATGGGTGGAGGTGAACACAGAATTTGCTCTTGTCTGTACCCCTGAGTAAAGGACCTGGATTCTAAGGCCCCCTCGGAAGGAGCTCGCTCATATGTAGTCTTCTCGTATCTTTTTTCATTCCCAACATGTAGAGCAGGGAGGAACAGCGTCTTTTTGGAAATTCTACCTACAGGCTGTTGCCTCATCTGCTTATCTGTCAAAATTATGGGCAGCCCTCCACTCTCCGTTGCCTCCAGTTAACTGATTCTTCCTGTCCTCCCCCAAGTATTTCTCAGGGAGGAAGTCTAGGAGTATAAACACCAGGGTCAAGGTCAAAGGAGACGAGAAGAATCCAGAACTAGCTGTGATTCACTTCAGTTAAGAGATTCCATGAAAACACAAGGCTTTATACGACTTAATGTGCAAATCTTCCCCATCAGAGATGCAAACTCCATGGCCGTGCTGATCACTGTATTCCCATTTCCTGGCTCATAACGGGCTCCTAACACCTGCTGAACAGACTGATAACGTGTGCTTATGAGGGTGTTCCTACCATGTCCTACGTGTGTTTGCAGCTTTTGAAGAAATCCTATGAATAACTCTGAGACTGCCCTTGGAGAAAGAAGCACATGTGAGCAACACCTCATTTACAGCATCCTTCCCCTCTCCTGCATCCATCTGTTCCTCTCCCCTTGCCCTATCCATCTATCCTAATCACACACAGTGGTGCCAACAGTAGCTGCAGTTTACTCACCGCTCCTACGCGCTGAAAACGACGCTAAGTATTTTACATGAATGGGCTGATTTCGTTTTCACCGCCCTACGAGGTAGTAGGCGGTTTTATTATCTTCCCTATTTCACAAATGAAGAAGCCGAGGCACAGGAAATTAAGTGACTTCTTCAAGGTCACAATGCTTGCAAGTGTCCAACACTGCAACCACGTGCTCTGAGACCACAGTCCACACACTTAACAAAGAAGCTATATACACAACTCAAAGAAACAGAACTGTGCACCCGGGCAAGGCAGACTAGAAGCAGCACCTGTTTTTGGTTTGGACCAAGGTGAAGTTACCTGGATGAAAAAATAAGACAAAAAAAAGTGGCAATCCTTAATTTCACATTACAATTAAAGGGGGAAACTGGGAAGTAAGCTTAAAACCCAAATAACCTGAAATATTAATCTGTCAACACAGCCTCAAAAAAGGAGGCTAGCTTATGTAGACTGAAGAAAGCTTTATGATGAGAACTGCTGTAACTGGCTCTGAAAAACCCAAAGTTTGGAAGACCAACTGGCGGGATACTAAAGCTGAGGGATAAAGCCAAGAAAAATTAAAACAAGTGAGTCTGAAAAAATCAAAGAACAGCAGCAGTTCACTTGATGTCTGCGGTGTGAGAAACACCTGCTGAGTCACAGTTCCAAAGAAGGCTGCTCATGTGAAAAAGA